ATAATCTTAGCATTTGACAACGCTATACAACTCAACTTTGTGTTATTTTATTCGAATAACATAGCATGCTCGCATTGAGTCACATTGAATTTTATACAGTATTTTGTTAATAATGTAACGATATGATGTGCTTTGTCATGTGTCACATAAATTGGAAACAGAAGTTGAAATGAATACTATAGGCCTAAGGCTAACTGTACGTAGCCTAAGCATATAGCATGGTCCAAAACTTTAACCTCCGACCTGAGGGCGTGGCCATTATCATGGACCTATAGCTCTACTGGCTAGAACCAGTTTTGATGGCGAAACTTTCTTCATTGTTGGAGACATGATGAGTGACCACCACACCATACACATGGTCCTTTTGAAGCATCTGAAAACCATGTTTGATTCTGATTGGATCATCCAATATCTTATAATAGTACTTGGAATTTGGAAGAAAACACTGGCACCACCACTGCTCGGGAAACTCAAACATGTCCCAGCCAAAAATGCCAAATAGGTACTGCTTCTTCAGTCAATTGGCTGAAAACGCCAAAGCAGTAACCCCAACTAGAATAGTTTCATGTTCTTGGGAAAAAAGCCAAAACCACATTTTACCCCACTCAAGAACACAGACCTAAATTTGGCAAAAGTTAAGCAGTAAAAGTAAAAATTCTAAGAGAGATGAATTAGCTTGTGAGTTAGGTTAAGAGCACTAATGAATATCAACTCAACCAACCCCTAGCTAGGTTTTCAAAACAGATAAAGAAGAAGAGAATAAAAGACAGCATCATCATTTTAGAGTATCATGCAATTCCTCTCATCACATGGCAAGTACTCTTTTGATGAAGTTGCATTGCAACCACCCCCATTTCTTTTCTTTTTTAACAATAATCCCTCTCTTTTCTTTCTATCTATCCTGTCTCCTTATCTAAAACTTCACTAAACAAATATACTTCTTGCTGGCAATTGATCACAATTTAAATAGTAAAATCCCAAACAAAACAACTGTGAAATTATATATAAATACGTAACAACCAAACCGACTCCATCATGCCTGTCTCTTTGGGTAGACATGAAAGAAACCACATAGCCCGTTAGCCTCTTGCCCACATGAAACAGGAACTTGTAGGCTAAATTAGGGCATAGAGGTAGGCTTTGTCTACCTTACAAGCAACAAAGAGAAAGAGCTAGCTAGCCACATTATATATATATATATATATATATATATATGTATGTGATACACTTGGAGTTGGAATATTCTACTTTATCATCACAAGCTAGCTAGGCTTGTTTTTGCATGAGTTGAGTTGAGTTGGGGGTTCCATTTGGATATGATTTGCTGCACAAATAATATTTTCTCCAATTGGCATCGCGTGTCTCCTCTCTGGAGGTACTCAACTTCTCCACACATGGCCTCTGCCACCATCTGCAGTTTGCTAGCTACCACTGCTCAGCTCTCAGCTTCTCACTCTCAAACCCATCATTTTCTACTCCCTCTGAGGTCGACACGTGGGGCCATCCTAGATGTTGGTGGTGGTCATAAAGTAAACATGCATACATGGCCACTGGTTTAATCTATATGTGTTTGGTTGTGTTGTGTTGTGTTGTGTAATGCTCGCGCACACACAACACAGCTACGAGATTATTTAGGAGAGATGCAATGCAAGTATATATATATTTAATATATGCATTGTAGACTTTTAGTTAGGGCTGATATAGTTTCGTGGGGTCACCTGAAAAGGGATAACGTTTTCTGTGTTCAAACTCCAAGCGTTCTTTCCAGCCATTAGATCATGATAATATTAATATCATATGGGTGCAAAAACAACCGACCAAGAGAAAAAAAAGAGAAAAAAAAGCACAATGGGTATGAGAAATCTTAAAACTATCATATCTGAAAGAGTAGAGTGTGAAGGATTGTGCCACAAACAAACACAGAATTATTCACTCTGTGGTGGTGGGTTCGCAGGGTAGCAGAAGCCCAAAAGAGTAGTGTGAGCGAACGAACTATTGTCCTAGGGCCAGCAAACCATTTGGGTCAAACGAAGTTGGACTGGATTGGACTAGGTAAAGCCCATTCTATTTATAAGCTCAATGGGGTTCCATTCTTCTTCATAAGCAGAAACGTTCTAGTACTGTCTGACTCTAGCCTACCCATCTCAGTGATTCACTTCACGGCCATAATCATGTGTAGTGTAGCCTGCCCTTAAACCCTGTTGAGAACCCAGTTCTCATAACTCCTCTCTAGCAAGATAAATTGCACCGATGTTGTCCTCAACTTAACCAATTAACCTACGTTCATTTGGGTTTAATCACACCCGTGTCTCAAGATACATTGGTATAATTTAGGAAGACCTGCCACTTGATTGATCTGTTTTTGAAAAATCCATCTTTCCGATTTGGGACAATTGTATTTGATGCAGAATTCCTAACAAACCGATCATTCGTCAGCATCATCATGGTTCCAAATTGGGGCTGAGCATATAATGCTCATAAACCCAAGATATGGTATCTTGACAACTCACTCGGATAAAGCCCATGTTGCGTGCTTACACACACAACCTACGTAATTTAATGCCAATAAATTAGTTTGATCCCCTAGCACTTAACCAAGTACTAATTGTTATGATTTATAAAATCCAGCACTACCAGAGCACACAGTACCGAAAAAAGATACTCCCTATTTCGTAGGCGGGTGTGCTACATTGCTATTTGTGTTGAAGAATATAAAGTTATACATCAAAAAATTGAAAAAGTAAATATAATATATAATGAGTTGTTCCATTACTAATAGGTCTTTTGTGATAAAACTCTACACATATTGGGCTTTATAGGTAGTTATGTTGAGGGCAATATTATATCGACGTTGATGGTACTGGGCCACTGACCGATCTGTCTAAAATTTGACAATTCGATGATACTAGACGAGTTAAACTGGCTTAATTGCAATTGAATTCCAAATTGGAATTGGAAACTTTATACACTCATGAGTGGTAATTATTTATGCAGAAGATTGGGTTATTGATGAAGCAAAGGAGCCATTTAATTCCAAGCTCCAATCATAAGGGTTGGTTGGTTTTCAGAAGGAATTGCAACCACAAATGCCATTGCCATCTTTGAATTAATTCATGTAGGCTCTAGCTAGCTACCGTATAATTTTGTTGTAACTTGCGACACAAAAAAAAAGAAAAACTTTTGCATCTGCGCAAGAAGCTAAAGAGAAAAAGGGCAACAGAGCAAAGAATCTATCACCTTTTGTATAAATTAAAGATAAAGTGTACAAAGTTTCCTTTTTCCATGCAAAAAATGCCAAACAATACGTCACCGTTCCCCCACTTCCTGCGTGTTACATTTACGTATTAATAAAGACGTCAAATCTCTCACATCCTGCCATTTCCATGATGAACCCAGAAAACCCTAAATTGAATTGAAAGTTGAAGCCAACCGTACACAAAAAATGATGAGAGAGACAGAGAGAGGGAGCCCTCTCTCTCAGCCAAATCCAATTCGTCAAACCTTATTATATATATAGCCTATAAAAACTGTGTAGCATTCATTTGGATTTTGCACTTCAATGGTCCACACCACATATATATATATATACGCGGTTCCTACCAAACATTCCAGCTAAGAAATCAATATCTCAAATCAACCTCAAGTTACAGTTTTACCCCTTGGGATTGTCCAAAACCTCACCTTCCTTCCTACCAGCTAGCAGTAACAGTAGCAGTGCAGTGCAGTGCAGGCAGAGGCAGTGCTCTATTCTTGTATATGGGCAAAGGCTAAAAGGAATATATTTATTATTATTATTTGTTATTTGTTATTAATTGCATTTTACAAACACTGGTTTTTGTAATTATCTGTGCTCTACGTCACTCCAAGCCAAGAACCCACGTTGGACTGTCCATTGCCTTTTGTCGTATATGAAAATTTCGTCTTCCCAAGTGCACTATTTGAAGACACTTTGATCTTTTTTTATTGGTTTGAAAACTGGTTTTTTCTTTACCAGAAAACCTAAAATATATGTTTCATTGATATTTATCTGTCAAAACTAAAAATCTTTGCAATATATATTTATATATAATTAAGCATGAAATGACTGAAGCCTGCATAAAGTACATTATGGGATAAGCATAAGAACTTTAAGTATGAGCTTTAAGCTATGCATGTCTGAGGCATTGCAGAGAAAAGGATAAAAACAAATTGACTGATGAGTTGAATTGGTGCACAATTAATTGAAAGAAACAGAGAAATCCTCAAAACTTGTATGCTGCAGCAACCAGCCAAATCCTCATCATCTTTCAAATCCAAAAACAGAGATCAAAAGGGTGGCAGCACAGAGAAGAAGAAGAAGAAGAAAACACCACAAGATCGAACAACACCATTTAATTCCAATCGATCATGCATTCATTGCCCATCAGAAAAAAAAAAAACCCAGTTGCATAATGACTTTTGCTTCAATTTTACATACAAAAATTCAAATGAGCATGAACAAATTGTGTGTAAATATTTTATATTGCAGGCAGGGCATCACGAGAATGTCAGAGGGAGGAGACACTGTGGTCTCTTTTCTTTTTTAGGACACGTCGCTCCAGAAAGTTATGAGAGAGAGAAGGAGGAGACGAATATTGTTGAGCTTGAGACACTTCTTTTTCTTTTACTAGAAGAAAAGAAAGAAAAAAGCTTTTCCCAGAATCCCGAGTTGCCCATTGGAGCGGTGAAAATCCGAGCGTTTCAATCGCTTTCCCACCACTGTTTTCCTTGGCTTTCTTTTTATTTTCTTTTTTGGCACTTTTCTGGTGAGAATCTGATTCTACCGAGGTGACAGAGGTGAGTTTACTCATTCCTCTGTTATTATTTTACTCTAATTTTTTTGGATTATCTGCTAAGTGGAACTTCCTAATTCCTATTATTAAACTTGGGATTTGTAGCACAAACTCCGTCTTTTTTCTTTGTTCAAAAAAATTCAAAAACAAATGAGAGAGAGAGAGAGAGAAAATTCCCCTGTTCTTTTTCAAACATTTACGTTTTTCCAAAGATTTTATTCTTTAACAACTCTGTTTCACCACTTTCCGCAACAAGGAAAGCTACCTAAGATTGTGAGCTGTAACCCTGAAACCGACCTTGTCTCTTCCTCTAAACACTTCCAACTTTCAACTGGGTTTTACTTGGTCTTCACATTCAATCTTTTAAAACCATTCTCTTCCTCCTTTTTCTTCTCTCTCTGTCTCATCTCTCTCAGCTCAAACAGAGTGCTAGTGTGAAAATGGGCAGAGCAACAAGGTGGTTCAAGGGGTTGTTTGGAATTAAGACCAAAGACAAAGAGCACAAAGCAAATTCAAGTCCCACCGACTTCAAAGACACGAAAGGGTCAAGCTTTGGGAGAGAAGATGCAACCCTACTGTGTCACAACCCAGCCACAATACCTCCCAACATATCACCATCTGAGGCAGCTTGGCTGAGATCATACTACAATGAAACAGAGGAGGAGCAGAACAAGCACGCAATTGCTGTGGCAGCCGCGGCTGCTGTGAAAGTTCAAACTGTTTTTAGAGGCTATTTGGTATGTTTCTCTTTTGCTCATTGTGCAACAAAAGTACACATTTTTATGATTTTTGTTTTAGTAATACTTGTGCCATGTTCATAGTTTCAAACTTTTTCAAACCAACACTTATCTTGGGTTTTTTTTTGTTGTTCTTTTTGGATTTGGCAAACGCAGGCAAGAAAAGCACTGAGAGCTCTGAAAGGACTGGTGAAGTTGCAGGCGCTAGTTAGAGGGTATTTAGTGAGGAAGCAGGCCGCAGCAACTCTGCACAGTATGCAAGCTCTCATTAGAGCACAAGCCACAGTTCGTTCTCATAAAACTCGGGGGCTCATCAACACCACCACCAACAACATTGAAGCCAATAGCAGATTTGAAATCCGTGCACGAAAATTCATGGTACTTCAAATTTACTAACAACCCATGTTTCAAAATAGTATCATCAACATCTAAATCTCTGGCAATAATTGAATCTGACATAGTAATTAATGTTCACTCAAACTCTTGCAGGAGAGATTTGATGACACTGGGAGTGAGCACACAGCTCCAAGCCACAGCAGAAGGCTCTCTGCTTCTAATTTGGACGCCAATATTGATGAAAGTCCCAAAATTGTGGAGGTTGATACAGGCAGGCCTAAATCTAGGTCACGCAGAACAAACACTTGTGTATCTGAATTCAGTGACGACCCAACTTACCAACAAGCACTGTCTTCTCCAATCCCATGTAGAGGACCTGCCCGGCTATCGATCCCCGATAGCCGGAATTTCCCAGAATCCGACTGGGGACTAGCTGGAGATGAATGCAGATTCATTTCCACAGCACAAAGCACACCGCGGTTTGTGAATTCATGTGGGGCTAGTAATTTGCCTGGCACACCTTCAAAGAGTGTTTGTGCTGAAAATTTTTTCAGAGGGTATGCTCCAAATTACATGGCGAGCACTCAGTCTTTCAAGGCCAAGTTGAGGTCTCATAGTGCTCCTAAGCAGAGGCCAGAGACAGGGCCAAAGAGGAGAATTTCACTTCATGAAATGTTGGAGTCAAGAAATAGTCTAAGTGGGGTGAGGATGCAGAGGTCTTGTTCACAAGCTCAGGATGCCATTAATTTCAAGAATGCTATAATGAGCAAGCTTGATAGGTCCTCTGGAATCTGGTAACTCAGAGCCAGAGAGGCTAGTTGCAATAATCAAGTTCAAGCTAAAAAAACCGTGTTGGTTAAAGAATGAATAGGGGGAAGGGAATATACTAGATAGATGTGTTTGTAGATTATAATTTACTGTTTATTATAGTGAGATGTAATCTCATTTTAATGTTGGCTTCTGATAAATTATGATGGGGTTATTATGTGTTAATTATTCAATTCTACCAAACAAACAATTCCCTCTTCTTTTGAAAATGTGACAACAAAAGTTGACAAATTCCATGTGAAACACATTTGCAATATGAAAAAATTTCCAAGCTTTTTCAAACAGGTACCATGATTGACCACAAAAACAACAAAAACTGGAAAAGTTTGAAACCACCCTGCTTCTCCAAGAACATGATGTTCTCCCATGTGTTTTTCCTACATTGATTTTGTTTGTTTAATTGAGTCAATTCTGTTGAAAAATATGACCCCACATGTTTTAAATAGGTAAGGCCTCTTCCAATGCTTTTAACTTTGCTGTAGAAGTGAGCACATTTGATCCAAGAAACTAATTGCGAATTAGGGTCTAGTCTAATGAAAAAAAGGGTCTTGACTTGAATGTCGGAGGTCTCAAGTTCGAACCCCTATGACATCTTAGTTGTGAGCATGTGTGAGAAACTCCCTCCCCTCCCCTGTAGTTTAGATTATCGCTTGTAGTTATAAAAAAACAAACAAACCAATTATCAAGCTTCAATAAAGAAACCAATTACCGAGTTTTGATACAAAGTATCTAATATGAGACTAATTATCAAACTTCTAGAGCAATGTTGAATTTAATCACGGCTTGTCAAAAATTTTAAGCATTTAAGCGTTCTGCAGAATTGGGTTGGTGGGTTCCATACTTCCATTTTAGCCCATATTTGAAAAGTCGCTCTACTGTCCTTATCAATTATTATTAAAAAAAAGACAAATCCTCTCCCATAATTTCTAGTTCCTTTCCTTGACCAACACAAACTTTTCTGAAAAAATTGGGAAACCATTTATAGTTTCAATTCAATCATGGTTATCAATTACTCTTGAGAGTAAATTTTCTGTTCCAGTTTCCAAGGGGATAATAAGCCAATGATGATTAGCTTTCGACCTGTCACAAAGGGTATAGGAAGGATGAAGCCACATTCTTTTAAAGGTTTTCTGATGCAGAGGCAAGCTTTGCGAAAAACAAAGCTTTACTGGGAGCTATGTCCTTTTGCTAAATTTTTCATGAAAGGGAGCTTTCAAGATTGGTTCTTTTGGGGTTTAGCTCAGGCAGAGCCTCAGAGATCACAGATAAAAAGGGTTCCCCTCCAATTCCAATTCCAAGTACATTGCCTCCTCCTCTGCCCCTAAGGACAAGAAGAGATTACAAAAAATTTGCTATGGATCCGAGCCCACTTTTTGCCAAGCTCATGAATTTACTTGAAATTGGGTTTCACTTGTTATACATCCAAAATTCCAAAGTTTCACGGCATGGGTTTTGGTCCTGGACCAATATCCCTTCTTCTCAGAACAGTCTCGGGGTTTTAGCTTAGTCAGTTGAAAACCCATTGGCTTATAGCCCAGTGGAAGCCAACCCAACTGATATTTACCCCAAAACATGGAATTTACAACCAACTACTATTTTGACAAGGGAATCCATATTCTAAATTACTCTAACATATGAAAAGCGAGATTGAACTCGAAGCAAAGGAGTGGATACATTGTCTTTCTTAACTGGCCTAACTCACATATGCACCTATATATCAACTATTAAGCCATAATATAAGCAACACGGGATTATACAAGGACTTCTTTTTTATTTTTTATTTGAAAAAATGGTTTTGGTATTTTAGTTGATCAATCATTACAATTTGATCCACTCAGAACCATCTATGAAGGTAAGGGAAATAAATGGCTTGGCTTCCTCATCAGTGAGCTCTCTAGACCATGAAACCCTCCCTGCAAAGCGAGCTCCTGGTCCAGTGCACTTGTATTGCCCATAAAACACAGTCCTGCAAATAACAATACATCATTACACAGCCAGCCTCATGCGCATGCCACTAACACCAAATTGAAAATGCCAAGAAAGCATAAAAAAACAAACCAAACTGAAACTATATGTAGCAGAGTGGCACCAAACTTTACATAGATGCTGGCGTGGCTTTTCTTAAACTATGCCAACATGAAGGGCGTAATGTATGAGTAGGTGGATAGGGTTTATTTTATGGTGCATCACACGTAGGTTTTGCAAAACAGAAAGGGCAAAAGGACATACACTCAATGGTTAGGTTAGGTCCTCTGCGTAACCGCCCTTCCCATTTGGTTATCAAATGCCAAAAGTGCCCTATTGCCTACACATATATATTTTTGAAAAGCCTAGATGTGATTCAGTAGATAAATTTGATTGGTTGGTTATGATGAAATTTAACCTACCTACTCGGATAAGTTATCCCGTGTATTCGAAACAACAATGTACCATCCTGACATATCACGCGACATGTTGATGTGATGAATTGAACAAAATTAAGGGAAAAAAGAGGGAGAGAGAGAGAGAGAGAGTTGCATACATTTCACGGTTAGGGTCACCCCAGTTATACCAGCCTTTAGGCATGATAATGTTGTCCATATATGTGTATGCAAAGACCACCCTGGAGAAAGGACCCCATGCCCTACCAAGATAGAGTGCTCCTGAGCCCGTGACCTTACAGTTTACAAATGAGAAGCCCGTTTCCTCCAACAGGCTGCTCCTGCCTTGTGCTGTGAGCGCTCCTACGTTCTGTGCTATTGCGTGCACGTGACATCCCTGCACTTGCAAATTGCAATATTAACATAAACCCTTTTACATAATCATGTGAATAGTGATGTGAGAGAGTCTTGCAGCTGCAAGGTCAAGACACAGACAAGACACCAAGAACTAGAACACAACCTCATGATTTGACAACAGCCAAAGTTAAATGTTGTGTTCTGTACATATTGAAAATTACCAAAAAAAGAAACATTAGAAATCATTTTTGATAATTTTGGATCAAAGCTTGAATGTTTATGTTTCTGGACTTAAAAAAATTTCAGAAAAAATGCTTCGAAAGAAGGTGAAAAATAAGTTAATCTAACCTCAAATAGGGAGAGTCAGAAAAAATGCTTCGAAAGAAGGTGAAAAATAAGTTAATCTAACCTCAAATAGGGAGAGTCCATTTCCAAAGATGAAGTCCACTGAACCTTCAATGTAGCAATCCTTGTAATAATGCCTTCCCAAATGATCATAGAGTGTATCTTGTGCCCCCAAGAATTTGCACCCCAAGAAGGCTGCTGTATCTGCTGAAATTCTAAATGCCACTGCCTGCTTACCAATTGCTCCTGGTGCTGGGACTGGTGTAGTGTTCTACACATTAATTGTAAAATTATATATCACATAAATGTATGTAATGTATATATATATAGAGAGAGAGTGAGAGAGAGAGAGAGAGAGAGAGAGAGAGAGAGAGAGAGAGAGAGATTACCTTGAATGTGATGTTCTTGGCAATGAAATAAGGGGAATTCACAGCAAAAGTTGCAGAATTGAAAGTCCCCATCGGTTGTTTCTTTGGACCAGATGGTGTTTGAGCAGTGTCTCCCCATTGAACAATTGTTTTGTCTGCTCCTGCTCCTTCTATGGTTATATATGATTTCAATGGAGGTATATTAACCTTCTCCCTGAAAAAAAAAAACATTTAACATTTCACAGCTTCAGAAATTACCACATAACAACAATGAAAGACAGAGCATAGGACAATTCATGAAGAAAAGAGCATTTCTTGGTCAAAGACAGAGACCAAGTCCAAGAGTGATCTGAATTCTGATCACAAGGAACAAGACACTCACGCGTAGACCCCTGCATGGACCTTGATGACCACTCTCAAGAGATTGATGAATGGGAGAGAGTCAATGGCGTCCTGAATGGTTGTGAAGTCTCCAGCAGCAGGGTTCTTAGCCACATGCAGAGTGTAAGAAGGGAAGAGCTTATTTTTGGCTGTCTTGAACACAGAGTGTTTCAGCCTTCCAACAAACCTCACCCACTTCATGAATTGCTGTTCTGAGAATTGGGCTTGTGTCATGTTCTTGGTCAAATGTACTTTCCCAGCTGAATTCCCAGGTCGAAGTCCCTTGCTGTGGCATTGTGTTTGGGTTGAATTGAAGAGAAGAAGAGCAATAATAACATAGAAAATGTGTTGGAATGTTGGCATTTAATTTTAAAACAGAAAAAAGAATTGGGACTGATATGAGAAGGAGAGAATATGAGTATAAAGAGTAATAGAGAGTATGTTAATTAGTTTGGAATTCCAAGTGCTTTTATAAATAGAGAAAGGCTTGTGCTTGTGCTTGGTTTGGTTTATATATATATAGAGAATGGCTTTTGTTTTAGGTGGAAAGTTATGCTGAATTGGAGAATCAAAGACAGTCTAGACAGAGTGAAGAAGTCACGGGTGCTTCTATGGACATCCATGTAAATTGTAATGTGAGAGAGAGAGAGAGAGAGAGAGGTGAAACAATCTAAGCCACAGGACAGGTTGTGCGCTTTCTGCTTATAAAAATTGTTGTTTCAAAATTATTATTTTTTTGCACTTTTTGAGTTGTTGTTTGGTGTTGCCCGTGAGTGTCTCTCTTTCTGTTTGCGTGTGATTAGAGTATATTCTGGAGAGGGAAAATGGATTGTTTTATGTGACTGCTCATATTAATATAATATTTATGAGTTACAACCCACTTTCTGCCGACCCTTGAATCATGGCCGTCCAATAACATGAGTTCAGTTAAGCACCATTTGATTACAATCACAGAATGTGACCACAGATCGGATTAGTTTAGCTGATAAATAAGTAGTAGTTGGTGTGTAGCTGAGAGGATTGCTAGGCCCACATGCAGAAAAACTATTTTGGCTCTTAGCAGCATGGCAACATTAACTTGTGTGGGGAATTTTGGTGATGCGAAAGAAACCAGAAGAAGGATTATTATTGTGTTGTGAAAAGATCAAATCTCCACGCTTCTCTCTTTTTGTGTTTTTTCTGCTCAACTTCTATCTTTTGGTATTCTTTAGCACTTCCACTACCAGTTGGTGCTGCTGCTTTGGGCCCCCTTCAACCCACCTAACTCTATCAGTCTTTTAGAACATGACAGGGCATGTTGATCTTAATATCAAAAATGGTAAACTCGTTTTAATTAGGCATAAGACTACCAATC